CTGATACTCCCACCATTTGTGATAAAACACGTACAGAAGTTCTTGGCGCATTTTCCATTATTTGTTGGACATTTTCTTTTAATTCTTCAGTCCGCTTTTTAGGTCGGCCGCTTCCTTCTTTTCTTGTTACACTGCCCGTTTCACGAAAAACATTAACACAACGCTGAACTGCACTTTGAAAAATTTTGTACTCAACAACGCCGGGAAATTGATTTTGAAATTCTATGAAACATTCCTCAATAGAATACTTCCATATTCCATCAATCTTGCGTCCATTTCTAAAGTAGGACTCTATGATAAACACTTTTTGTTCTTGAGAAAACACCATTTTAAACGCTTTTTAAAATGAAAATATTCAAATTGATAGCGGCGATATAGCTACGCCCTACGTCCAAATTTTAAGAACCAACTTGATCACGTTTTTATTTGAACGCTCGTTAGTTGAACTTAGAAAAAACACATTTGGTACACGGTGTGAGTGTACCAAGAGTTACTAATCGACAATAAGTCGAGATTTTAAAGGATTGATAAGGGATGGTGCACCATTAAAATGTGCCGGAATTTTTTAACCCGTTGGCGAACTTAACAAATTATTACTTTATTTTATGGGGAATTTAGTTCTAAAACTTTTCTTACTCTTGATAGTTTTCAAAAACTTTGTCGTTTTCAACAAAAACACGAATAACAAATAATACGTATTGTAGCTGTGTTACTTAAAATCATCGATCATTGGATATGACTTTAAATGTCAAACTTGACGATCAAGAAAAAGTCACTTAATTTTAGTAATTGTTTGCTCAGTGTTTTGAAAGCGACCGGGAAGTTTTCATTTAGCGAACAAGTTGACACGCTATTAGTGATAGGATTCTGTGAAGGAAACTACAGAAGAACTGTTGAAGAATATCGGAGATTTCCAAATCGTGTAATCCCCCATAGAGAAACATTTTCCAATGTTGAAAGACGGGCTCGAGAAACAAGCAAGTTTTACAGTCATTCGAGAACGTGCTATTGCAATCAGAGAATAAGGCGAAGAACTTATTTTGAAACCAATAATTGAAGATGATCCATATATTAATACTAGAATTCTAGCTCGACAAACTGGTATATCACAAACTTCTATATACATCGAGTGATCAGACGTATCTACTACACCCATGTCATATTAAAAAAATGCAAGAATTGTTACCAAATGATTTGGTTAAACGAGTGAATCAGTTTATTTTACATCAAAAGGAAATTCTCTTTACTGATGAAGCTTGTTTCACCCGCAGAGGTACTACAAATTTACATATGTAACTATCATGAGTATTCCGATGTAAACCCTCGTTCAGTAACTCCTCGACATTTCCAACGCGAGTTTAAAATAAATGTTTGGATCGGTATTTAATTGGTCCAGTACCGAATCGACTAAATGGCGAAACTTATTTAGAATTTTTCCAAAACACTCTCTCGGATCTACTTGTCGAGGTGCTACTACAACTCAGACTGGAACATGATGGAGCACCAGAATTCAAATAAATGGATTGGAAGAGGAAATAATTGCTCACAAGCGGCCTTCACCATCACCTTACCTCAACAAATGTGACTTCTTTCTTTGGAAAACCTTAAAAGAATTTGTGTATTCCTCGCCATACTCTAAAAAATAATATCTAACTACAGTTCCTAGACACATTTCACATTTTTACTCTGCCCAGATTGTCCCTTACTGCTTACTTAATTTCCTACTATCCTAAGTACCTATATACGTAATTAATTTAATATTGTTAACTAAATATCTATAATACCTAACATTAAACCTTCTGTTTTCTGCTATATAGGTATATAAATATATTTTGATGTCTACCTAAAACTATTCATTGGAGCTCCAAAAAAGTGTTATTTTAACTGATGTCTGAACCGATCTATGTAATAAGCTTATATATACGTCTTTTATCGACTACAATCTTAATCCGGATTACAATACCTGGCTTGTTATTCGGATACAGTTAAGCTTGCTTAACTGTATGGAAAATATTGCTTCAGAGAAATAGAGGTCTAATAATGCCATCGTATTTCTGTCAGCCGCTGTACCTAGTGTAGATACTAGATAGTAGGAATCTATCTAAGTACTTAATATGGACCAATAAATGTATTGTGAAATTTAAAATATGCAAACAATAAAATACCTATATCATTTCCAAGGCAGATTTGTACTAATTCTAAGATAATTTAATTAGATGCGTTTATAAAAATACCTCTTTAAGAATTAGAAGACAATTTAAGAAGTACCCATGTCTCTTTAAATTGTAGGTAAATAATATTTAAAGTTCTAGGTAATTTTATAAATTTGTATTATATATATATATGTATATATATGTAAAACCAGTGATGTATTTGGGATTGCAGTCAACAGTGCTAAGGGCTAATGTAATAAGAACACTCTGTGTTGTTGTCAAGCTTTCGGAAATGTTTATTTCCTTTCTCAAGACATAAACGTGAGATTATAATATAAAAACCATCAAAAACGAAGTATACAAGAACATTGTTAAAATTTTATGAGCTTCACTAGATTAAAAATAATTGTAACTATAGTCAAACATTCTTTTATAAAAAACAATTTTTAAGTCAATTTTTAACATTTAAACAACTAATACAGTAAAAAGGAGCCATGCCTTTGAAATGTGAACTATTTTTTAT